TGGCTACATTCATCGTTCACGTAAGAACAGATACAAACGAACATGCGTGCATGCATGCATGCATTTAATATAATCATATGATTTTTTTCATATGAAAAACTAAGGAAAGCCGCATGAGGGAGCCAGAACGAGAGTTGTGATGCAATGGTCATATGACGGTCAATCTTTTCCCATAATTTATTCTTTTATTCTTTTTTTTTTTATGGTTTTTTGTGCAAAGCATGCAAACCGACGCATTGGTCAGCCGGCTGCAAATTTCGATGAGAAAAATATACTAAAACATAAAAAAAAAAAATTAATTAAAAGGGATTTTTTTTTAATGCTTCTCTCTATCATGCACGGTAACTAGAAAACAATATCACGTGAGTTACACATGCTTGGTAAAGGTAATTGTTTTCGAAAATGAATAACCAATTTGTTGATTGAACCCTTTTGGATAGAGATTCTAATTACAGTGTTCCATACAGTTAGATACGAATACATGCGTGGTAAAAGTGATGAAATACATTAAACCAAGGATAACACGTAAATGCAATTTTGGAAATTTTAAAACATAAATTAACGTTATATAAATCATAGTGATTGATTTTATAATGTTATAAGGTTTAAATTTTAATTTTAAACGAAAAATAATACTACTAGTTCTAACATGATTGGGATCTTCCTCTCACATTATCCAAAACGATACAAGAGAACATTTACATTCCAAATTCCATTTTATTGCATAGTGGGGATTTCAACAAATCAATCCCAAAACTCTTTGTCCTAACCATGCTTGGGACGAAGTTTTACTTGTTACAGAAAAATAAATAAATCAAATTCAGTGTTACTTACCGATGATATAAGATACTATTAATGATGCGCACACACATACACACGTATATGTATGTAATTATTCTAAAAATCGGTTTAAATGAAATAAATAAATTCCTCTAGTAGATAAAAGAAAATTGGTCTAGTATAAGCATCTAGAAAATAGAAAGTCTCTAAACAATCAAATTACAGTAGATGTTCAATTTCATTATGCAGAAAAAAAAATCGTGTAATTAAATAATCGACTTGGTATCTCCAACGGTCTAATTTAATAAAAAAATCTAAACAGAAATTATTTTAATTTTTTTCTGCATATACTTAAGTGATACAATGCCAATGGTATTCGTTTTTCGACAACCAATGTAAGATCTCTAGGTATGAACACACATGCGCAAAAAGAGTTGCCAAGAAGTGGGTAATTGACACGTGGCAGTAAATGGAAAGAATGGATGCGGTTGTAAAATCTGAAACGTCGCATAGTGTGTTTTTTTTTTAATTATTTTTCTTACCTTAATTGGCCGGAAACTACGAGTTAGCAAATGCGAATTCTCATCTCTATTCCCCGACACAAACCCTAAGAGAGGGGGGAGAGAGAAAGAGAGAGAGAGAGAGAGAGAGAGAGAGAGAGAGAGCAGATTCTTACGCATTTCAATTCAGTAAGCTTTTATATATGGTTTTAATTTTTTTAAAAAAAAATTGTTGTTTGTTTAATCTCTTTTTTTTGGATGAGACCCAGAAACAAAAACACACGAACAGATGATTTCATGAAATCATATTGATCTCAGATACTAAGGTTTCTAGGGTTTTACTTCAATTTGGTGTCTATTTCCTAGTTGTGTTTATTTCGCTTTTTTTTTTGTTTGAGATCATTTACGATGTGATTTTTTCCATTGATGTTCTTAGGTTTTTCATTTTTTTTATTTTCGTTCTTGAATCCCCCGATATGTTTTTCACTCGAACTGACGATATTTCATTTTCCCTTATGCAGGAAAAGAATGCTACCAATATGAAGGAAAATCACGCCGATGGCAACAGGTGATTTCTGATTTTTGTTTGTTCATTTTAGCAATATTTTCCTCAAAATATAATTCTGCTGGTGAAACGGGACACAAAGTGTATGTTCCGTCCCGAGTTCGAATTTTAAATTTGGAGAATGAATATATAATCCAAATCATATAGCTGATTTCCGATCCCAAGATTAGTTTGGTCTTAGTTCAAGATACTCGGTTATCTAAAAAACAAAAAATATTTTTCCCAAAATAATATGATTGGCATTGTTATGTTTGTATTAGTATTCACATATTTGGGGGTATCTGATTGTTCTTCCGAGTTTTAGATTCTACGAGCATGAGCAGCAGATCCTGAAACTGAGTTTGGAATAAATGAATCGGTAAAAGTAAATTCCCTTCTATTTTTTTTAAAATATAAATAAAATGTTGACAGATTGATTATTTTATGTTTTTTTTTTCAAAGAAGAGTAGGATATGGCAAAAATCTTAAAAAGGGAACAAACCTTTCCGTACAGCAGCCAATCAGCCATGTCCCTTCTGTATACGAATATATATGACAGAAAATTTAGGAAAAATGTATTATTTATAAAAAAAATTTGTGATAGTTGTTAAACAACTATAATTTTGGTATAATTAAACCAATCACTAATGAATTAGTCATGCTCATAGATAATTCAAGGAAAAAATCAGGTTCTTGAATATTATATTTGGTTTTTATTAGTTTTCATTTGGTAGTATTCTAAGTGGCATGTTGTTTTTTGTGTTCATGCTGTGAAATTGGTGCACTTTTCTTCTGATAATGTAATGTGGGGAATGATATATTAAAAATCTTATCAAGTTATTGGGATATATATATATATATATATATATATATATATATATATATATATATATATATATATATATATATAGTTATATATATATGTATGTATGTATGTATGTATGTATGTATGTATGTATGTATGTATGTATGTATGTATGTATGTATGTATGTATGTATGTATGTATGTATGTATGTATGTATGTATGTATGTATGTATGTATGTATGTATGTATGTATGTATGTATGTATGTATGTATGTATGTATGTATGTATGTATGTATGTATGTATGTATGTATGTATGTATGTATGTATGTATGTATGTATGTATGTATGTATGTATGTATGTATGTATGTATGTATGTATGTATGTATGTATGTATGTATGTATGTATGTATGTATGTATGTATGTATGTATGTATGTATGTATGTATGTATGTATGTATGTATGTATGTATGTATGTATGTATGTATGTATGTATGTATGTATGTATGTATGTATGTATGTATGTATGTATGTATGTATGTATGTATGTATGGTGCAATTCTGATTCGAGCTTAGAAGTTCGCGGAGACAAACATAAAAGATATCATGTGACTTTTGCTACTGTATTATATATTTCTAATCACCATATAAATTAATATATTATAATTTGTATGGATTGTCGAAATCAGGTAGTTTATTTGACTCTCCTTAGTTTCGTTTATGACAAAAGCTCATTCACCTATGCATCCGGTGGTGTTTCAACTCACACACACGCGCGCGCACACACACACATATATATATATATATATATATATATGTAGTGTTATGTATTTCCAAAATGTGAATGGAGAGAAAAATTGGCCATCGGAATTCATATTTATCGGTCTCTGTTTATTCAGTACAAAAGGGATATTGCATAATGTGTAGATTAATGAAGCGACTCATTGTAGTTAGAATAGATAATATGGCGTTGTACCAATTTAGTTTTGGGTTAATTAACTAGTGTTTCACATGGGAAATCATATGTACATGTATACACTCAATATATATGTGTATGTATATTAATAAGAGTTGTGTTATAGATAATTGTATGCGGAATTTTTAACCAAATATATTATAAATGTATTTCCCTATATAACGTTTCTTAATATGCACAAATATTTATCTTAATGTTTGTATAATATAATTTTTTATAATTATGGCATGCGGATAAACAAATAGTGGGTTCCTTGCGCAATACGATCTTCTCGCGTGGATAACTGTTGTATTTAAATGTTTTTTTTATTTCATTGTATTTTAATAACTTAAATTAATATTAAGCCCTTCTTTGACGGGTGCGAAGTCCGATTAACCGGTCAATCACATTTCTACTCGGGGAAACCAAAACAAAAATCCCATCAATCTTCTATTTTTAATATTATACTCGATATATATTTTTAAGATTCAACTCGTCGACGAGATTTTATAATTTTGCAATTCCGTACGTGTGCTGAATAGATAATTCGATTGGCGGATCTTCATTGTGGCCCATTTGATCATATGTTTTTTTTTTTATCATATGTTATGTAGACTGATATTAGATCTTGATTCTTTTTTTTTTAATGTAGATCTTGATTCTTTTCAAAGGGTATTTATGTGTTCTTGTATACATGCATGTATATGTAAATATATGTATATGTATTTGAATATTGCAGTTAAATCTATTTGTATGTGCATGTAAAGGTCAAACAGTTTAGTCTTAGAGATGATTTGTAGGGTGTGGGAATGCTGGGCTTTGGGGGGTCATGAATTGCGTTAAACGAGGACGTGAGTTCCCATAATCCAAGTGCGGTAGAGAGAGAAACCGCCAGGTTTTAGATAGAGATTTGATATACACATTTTTCTTTAAATTCCGTTTTTATTTTAGTTTGGTTATAATTTAATATGACAGATATTTTGCTTTATGGGGTTGGATTTTTTCCAGTTGGACGTGTAGGTTTGTCTTACTAGGGTTCAATTTAATTATTTATTGCGACACTCGTGTCCTTATTTGTCGCATTATCATAAAATTACATCGGTACATGCATGTATATTTTATATAATCCTGCCCTAATCAATACTTGTGTCAAATTTTATTTCACTTTCTATTCTATTATGGGTTTGATTTCAATACTCTAAACTTCACTGGTTTCCTCAAAATTCTCCTTTCTCAAAACCCTAAACTTATTATAGAGGGAGAAAGGGTTTTTAGAGAGAGAAATAGGCAGATGTTTCGCAAGCATACGTGCAGCAAAAGAAGATATTTTTCCTCAATCTGTTATAAGTAATCTTCCTTCTTGGTCATGTTCTCACATCAAAGACCTCTCTCTCTCTCTCTCTCTCCCTCTCTCTCTCTAGTTCATTTCTTGCAGGAGGACAGTTGAGACAATAGGGCTAGAAGCAAAGTAGACAGTATTGTTTATCAGCAATGGATTCCAACAACTGGCTTGCTTTTCCTCTCTCGCCAGGCCACCCTTCTTTGCCTCCACATATCCATTCCTCTCAATCTTCTCAGTTCAATCATGGATTGGTTTGTGGCAACATGGACAACCCTTTTCAACCCCAAGGTATATACATCTATATATATATATATATGTATACACAGAGGTATACTTTTGCACGTCTATATCCCCTATTCTCTGTGTTGTTCCTGAATAATTCATTGTATATAACAGAGTGGAATATGCTAAATCCTCACGATGGTAGAGGAGGAGAGGTTCCGAAGGTAGCGGATTTTCTTGGAGTGAGCAAACCCGAGAACCAATCCGACCAACTCGTTGCATACAACGAGATTCAGACCAATATTTCCGGCTACTTCTTCCAAGGCAACGACTTGTTTCCGACCGTGCATTCGAACGCCATTGTCACATGTGCTTCAACCTCGTCTACCAACACCAATGACAATAACTACGAGCTTCCTGAGAGTTCCAACAACTTGGGTTCTCTCACTCTGTCCATGGGAAGTAGCACCGGTAACAACGTAAAGGCTTCGTCTTGTGACACAAGTCGCGACAACATCAGTAGTAGCGTGATTGCAGAGGCTATGCCGAGAAGAAACTCGGACACTTTTGGGCAACGGACCTCTATCTATCGTGGTGTCACAAGGTAATAGGTTTACACACATTTTTCGCTTGTCATTGTATAACTTTGAATTACTAGAGTTCAATGGTGAAATGGGTGCGTGATCTTTGGTGCAACTTAAGGCATCGTTGGACCGGTCGGTACGAAGCTCATCTCTGGGATAATAGCTGTAGGAGAGAAGGTCAGTCAAGGAAAGGAAGACAAGGTAAGTTTAACTTAAATTAGTTACTAATTACACTTTGGTTATATATCAATAATTAACCGTGTTCATTATTCGTGTTTAAAATTTGGGCTATACACTGACCATATACCTCTTCTGTTCTTGGTGTTCTATTCGGGGCTTCGACGAAATTTCCAGTTTATTTGGGTGAGTTCGATTCTGGTCAAGTCTCGTCCATTTTATATAAACGTTGATTAACGGATTTGAGATTTGTTGTTACATCGGATTTTGTCCTAATTTTGGCAGGTGGGTATGACAAAGAAGAGAAAGCAGCGAGGTCATATGATTTAGCTGCGCTCAAGTACTGGGGACCGTCAACCACGACGAACTTTCCGGTCCAACCTTTTCTCTTAATTTTCCCAATCATTCTCGTCCGACCCTTCTCCTGATCGTTACCAAATCGCAACGTTAATTCCGATATTTTTCCCATCTTAATATCATACCCTTTGTTGTTCGTTTTCTTTCGCTGATTCAGGTTAGTAACTATGAGAAGGAGATCGAGGAGATGAAGCACATGACAAGGCAAGAGTTCGTGGCCGCAATAAGAAGGTCGATTATTTTGTTTCGCAAGTCTTTTCCGATATGGTTTTCGTGTAGATCATTGCATACGGCCGACCGAGCCAAAGGTCTAGACTTTGTCGTTATTTTCATACCCCGTAACTGTGTATTGTGACATATTTTCTTAACAGGAAGAGCAGCGGATTCTCTCGAGGGGCGTCGATGTATCGAGGAGTTACAAGGTTCCCTTTATCTATATATACTCACATGCCATTATGACATATGAGAATATGCTTTTGGCTCGGTCCATAATTTACATGTTTATTTGCCATACAGGCATCACCAACATGGAAGATGGCAAGCAAGAATCGGCCGAGTGGCTGGAAACAAAGATCTGTACTTGGGAACTTTCAGTATGTACTTTATCGTCAGTAGTTTTTGGAATCAATGTATAACGATTTTTCCAGTGATGATACGATATATGATGCCTACGTTACGTTCAGGTACCGAGGAAGAGGCTGCAGAAGCTTACGACGTCGCGGCGATAAAGTTCAGAGGACTTAACGCCGTTACGAATTTCGAGATCAACCGGTATGACGTCAAAGCCATTCTCGAGAGCAGCACTTTGCCCATCGGAGGCGGTGTGGCTAAGCGTCTCAAAGAAGCTCAAGCTCTGGAATCTTCTAGAAAACGTGAGGAAATGTTCGCCCTCGGGTCAAGTTTCCAGTTCAGCGGCTCGGTCTCCGGCTCCAGTTCAGGGCTGAATTTACAGAACTTCCCACTGACCCAATACAGCCATCATTATCAGCCGTTGCTAACTCTCCAAAACGGCGGCAT